AAACTGCAGAGCAGCAACAGGTGCTGTTGTCATGGTGAATGTAGAGCAGTGTGTTCCAACGACTGAAACTTCGAGCTCAGCACCGGAATAACCCCAAAGTCCCAAACTCCTCGATTCCCAAAACTCCAAACACAGCATCCAACACGTAAACCTCAGATCTCGAATGCCAAGTGCTCTGGGTGCTCCGGGCGCTTTAGCATACTTGGCACGTGTAGTACTGGTAGTAGTACTTGTAGTAGTAGTCGTCGTCATAGTAGTAGGACTAGCAGTGGCGGTAGTCATTGTCGTCGTCGCTGTCGTCTTCGTCGGCTCGGTTCGAAATCGTCAATAGTGCGGTCGGAATCGTCGTCGACATTGGCCAAGTCGGAATCGTCTAAACAGTCCGCAACGTCCGTCGTGGTGGCCGTCGTTCAGGGAAAGTCGATGGCTAGCCACGTGACAAGATGGTGCTGAATCTGCTGTGCTGTCGCGTGGCGGAAGACTCTAGCAGGCCTCAAAATCTGGCACGGCACAATAGGGCGCTTCTAGTAAGCTAGTGATATACCATTACCATGCTCTCGAACACGATCAGTGCCAGCGTTGCCTTTCTTTCGCTTGTCCCGGTTTCGACCATTCTTACTGCTTCCAGTGTAGCAGGACCTGTACTGGTACCACTACTCTGCTTTGTCCGAACCAGCGAAAGCATCTCAATGCAAACGAAGCACAGGCCTATCTCCACCGCTCAGGTTTTGAGCGTGTCCTGAGTAAAGTTGACTTCCTGCCGTCGGCCACAATGCCATGAGCAAAGTCTTCGTGTGCATACTATAATTTCCTGCATGAATCAAACGAAGTTCCCATACACGGCAAAATATCCAGTGCAGTATATACACACACCCTCGGCGTCTAGACCCCTTTCTAAAAAATTGAATCCCACCCGAGACCCGAGACGACAAAACCAAATGCCCGGTCTTCAAGAGATCCTTCTGTCGGGATGGATGCTTGCATGGGATTCCTACTCTCTTGCCAGTGGCTAGTAAGTGTTCGTCGGAGGAGTCGAGCTCGATCACCGACTACGCTGCTAGGTTCCCCAGTAAACCCCTAACAATAAGGGTACCCTTTTTCCTACTCTTTGGGTTTAATAAGAGACCCCTCAAACAAAAAGGGCAAAAGGGTACTACTGGGGAACCTAGGCTGCACATTCTGCCGTGATCTTCCCTTGGTGCACGGGATCGGCCTTGACCACTACATCCGGCGGCGGACTGTCGGAGAGTTTGGGCACGACTCCGAACCTGCAGGGGCAGTGGAAAGGCAGACCCTTGCGGCAAATTAATATAGGGTTTAGGGTTTAGGGTTTAGGGTTTATAATATAGGGGCCTTAATAATTAGAAATAGGGTTGTGGTGCCCATTATACTACAATTATAATGAGGAGCCTCCAAAATAGTATCGGTAATTAAACCCTAAACCCTAAACCCTTAACTGTAATAATTATTAACTAGTTCATGGTTGGGGTCGTATTAAAAATGTAAATTTATATTCCTTATTGGGTTTACGTACCCTTAAAAATGTTACCCAACTATGACAAAGTTAAGACCCCTACGTTACCCACGTCTCAGAGGAGACCTCAGAAGGCCCCGGCTTGACGGGTGCCCTGAGTGAGCAACCGTAGCTACGGTGGGTACCCATGCTGCCGCCGCGGCTACTAGGACCCTTAATGTAGGGGTGGGTTTAGGGTTTAGGGTTTAGGGTTTAGGGTTTAGGGGTTAATGTAGGGGCCTTAATAATGAGAATGGGGCAGGGTTCTGGGGGTTCCGTATTATGATGATCATATAATATACCCCAAACACTATCTTCTAACCATAAAGGCCCCTATACTACTGTATGAGAATAGGGTTCTGCGGGCTCCTTATTATGATGATAATATAATATACCCCAAGCACTATATTCTCTAATTATTAAGGCCCCCAAACACTACCTTAAGAACCCAAAACCTACTTGTTTGTAGGGTCCCTATAAATCCCATATTGGGGTTTATAATAAGAACCTACAAAAAAGTGGGTTTTGGGTTCTTAAGGTATTCTCTAAACAGTAAGGCCCCTATACTACTGTCAATGATTACTCTCGCGATGCTGAATTCTGAGAGCTGCAGGCCGCAGAAGTCACAAAAAGTCGCATAGCCACCTAAACCCGAAACCCTGAAGGGTTTAGGGTTTAGGGTTTAGGGTTTAGTTCAGCAGCTCCGGATCGAGCAGTTTTAAAAGTTCTATTCACTGTTTCGATATAACACGCACCCACCCTGAGAATCCCATAACATTAAGAAAACATAGAAAGTTTTTTATTTTCACTTAGTG